TCAAAGATAATGAGGCACCTTCCCCTATGCTGTTTTCTTCACATCTTCCTTCCTCCTCAGAGCCAAATGCATCAGGGAAGATGGGACAGGGAAGTTGTTAGCAAAGAGGCTGCAATACATGTCTCAGACCTTCAAAACCTGCTCCTATGACTACTGTTACTATGTAAGAACACCCTGACGACTCAGTGTCCAGAAACACAATGAACAGAGTTATGATTATCTGCTGCTGCAAGGTCTTTCTAGAATGTACAGGACAGCTAAACCTGATACCAAACTTCTTATTTCCTTGTTTGTCCCCCTCACCACATTATCAGTTCTATGTGCTTAGCACATCCCCATGCAACTCAATACTCTTAATCAGAGGGCTCAGTATCCACCATTACTGCCTGTCTGGGAAGAACGTGCAAGGACAGTCTACATCTCTTACCACTATTGTCAGAGAATGAAGCTGCATTACAGAAATCAGGAAATTAAAAAAAAATGAAAGCTTACCTCTGTCCTAAACACTGCTCATACACTCCCAATGATCACCAGAACTCAGAGGCCCTCCTGCATTCACACAGTGTGACACACCACTTTTTTGCACTTTGCTACTGCTCTGAGAACTAGCAAAATATTGCCAACAACATGAAACAAGGCTCAGGGAAAATTAGCCAGCCATGATACTCACTAAAAGGATGAGGGAGCAGTAGCAGTCACTGAAGGTTTGTCTTGAATGGAACAAGCAGTTGAACTTAATTCAACCTTAATTAGTTCACATTAGCTGAATTCAATCTATTCTTGTCACAGGAAAGATAAGCCTTACAGAATTAATGCTTTCCTATTCTCCTTCGTATTTTGGCAAGTTGTAGAGTCACACAGTAAAGGAGAACAACCTCTCACAACTCACTAAGGCATCACTCAAGGAGGACAGATTTAAAGTTAAATGGAGATGGTAAGAGAAACATTCATGTGTATCATCTTTCAGTCTGTTCAGTTTAGTCTCCTTTCTCGGAGGTGTCAAGTACAAATAAACAAATTACTTTAACTATTCATTTACTTTAGCAGCTAAACATACAAACATGTCTCAGAATGTCTAGATTCCTTATAGTTACCATTCAAATTCATCCATAACAACAACATACACAGGCATTTTCTAAAACAGTAAGTGAACAAACCACACGCAAGTAAGCAGACCAAGTACTTTTCACCAGACTCTACAGCAAATTTGCTTGTGTCCAATATTAAATACAGGTATCAAGTTTACTAAAACCAGTCTCTGAAGAGATTCCAAAGGTGTTGGATGTCAGGATCAGCTTAGTTTCATGCCTCCTCTAGCACAAAGAGCCAAACAGAGAAAAGATGAATGTGACTACTGAAGCTAGGGAGTCACTACTACATGGAATAAAAACATGGGTCAAAAGAAAACAGAAAAGTTTAGTAAGAAGAGAACTCACACGTAAAATCAATAATCTTAGATTATTAAGTGCCCCAAAATTAAGACATCTAACTTCGTCTTGCCTTTGGGGACATCAGCATTATCATATCAATCTTAAGGAAAATTACAAGGTCACACACTGAATTGTAATTCAGGAAATAAACCCACACAGTGCTATCAAGCACCACCTGTCTTGTGCACTGAACTAAGCAAGCTCCCCTTCACAAAACAGAATGTATAATTGCACTATTATACATTGTATCATATTACACATGCTCAATGAAGCCTAATCATGGTTAAATGAGCAACTCCAATTCTGTCATTTGTTAACTTCTAAATGTTTATTTATAGAAGTTTATCATTAACTCTTCCTATCAAGTTTCCCAATACAAGCTTTTAAATTAATATTTTAAATCTGTGCAAGTTCCTCATGCATAAAATTACATGATAAACCATTTTTTTGATACATACAAAACTCTTAAGATCAACTGAAAACTGGTACCACCTTAACTTTTCAAAAGTAACCACATAAAATTTTGTCCTCTTACACTAGACTCCTGTTTACACTAATATTTTGAGGAGCTTCATCTGATATTTAAGACAGAATCCATGAAAGTGTCTAGAAGAAAAAGAATAACGGTACAGCCCATACATTTGTGACAAGATCAATAAGCTAAACCTTCAAACTAGCATCATTGCTTTGTACATGTACATGGTCACGCTCAAAGAGTTGCAGTCAACGGCTCGATGTCCAAGAGCAGTGACGAGTGACGTTCCTCAGGGGTTGGTGTCGGGACTGGTGCCGTTTAACATCTTTGTTAGTGTCACGGACAGTGGGACTGAGTGCACCCTCAGCAAGTTTGCCAATGACGCCAAGCTGTGTGGTGCGTCCGACACGCTGGAGGGAAGGGATGAGGCCATCCAGAGGGATCTGGACAGGTGGGCCTGTAGAAACCTCGTGAAGTTCAACAAGGCCAAGTGCCAGGTCCTGCACATGGGTCAAGGCAATCCCAAGCACAAACACAGGCTGAGCGATGAGTGGATTGAGAGCAGCCCTGAGGACAAGGACTTGAGAGTACTAGTGGATGGAAAACTGAGACACAGCAATGTGTGCTCACAGCCCAGAAAGCCAACTGTATCCTGGGCTGCATCAAGAGAAGTGTGACCAGCAAGTTCAGGGAGGTGATTCTCCCCCTCTACTCTGCTCTCGTGAGACCCAACCTACAGTGCTGTGTCCAGCTGTGGGGCCCCCAACATAAGAAGGACATGGACCTGCTTGAGCAGGTCCAGAGAAGGCCATGAAGAAAATTAGGGGACTGCAGCACCTCCTCTATGAGGACAGGCCAAGAGAGTTGGGGTTGTTCAGCCTGGAGAAGAGAAGGCTCTGTGTAGACCTTATAGCAGCCTTCCAGAACTTAAAGGGAGCTACAGGAAAGATAAAGAGGGACTCTTTGTCAGGGAGTGTAATGATAGGATGAGGGGTCACGGTTTTAAACTGGAAGAGGGTAGATGTAGATTTAGATTAGACCTAAGGAAGAAATTTTTTACTGTGAGGGACGTAAGCCCCTGGCACAGGTTGCCCAGAGAAGCTGTGGTTGCCCCCTCCCTGGCAATGTTCAAGGCCAGGTTGGACGGGGCTTTGAGCAACCTGGGCTAGTGGAAGGTGTCCCTGCCCATGGCAGGGGGGTGGGAACAAGAATACCTTTAAGGTCCCTTCCAACCCAAACCATTCCATGATTCTATATTGAAGAAACTAATGCTAGCACTGTAACTTCCAAGAATAAATGAAGAACAGATTTTATACAGAAGACGAGACAAAAAGTCTGTGACATCAGCTCACAGTGCTCCTGTCAGAACATCCTGGGTACCTGAAAGCAGCAGTACACTCAACAGAAATTACTCTAACTAGGCTGCAACTTAAAATTCATCTTTCCAGGTAAAAGTAGGTATAGAGATCCACAATGTTTCCATATAGATTTGCAACACTGCATCACAAAGCAGTTACCACAAAACTCCCCAGGGACCAACATGGCATAAAATAACAAATGGCACACAAAACTCAAGGCACAAAATCCAAAGAGGAGAAACCCGAATAAATTCAGAACCCGCCCCAGCACCTTGGTATACGGCACATAAACACAAAGCTTCTCCTCCACATCTAACAAAGTTCACATTCCGGTTGTGGCCTGAAGGGCTTTTTTGCAGGCCATGGGAAGTCTCAACACAATTTCTGGTAGTGTGAAGAAAATAAAGGATGGCCAGTGATATAATTACATAACAGATCATCATATGGTAGCAGATACGGCAAAACTGTTCTTTTAAATACATTCTGTACTTATTTTCATGCAGGAATGATTTTCTATACCTTATCAAAAAAAGATAGTTTTCAGAAGGTAACAGTCAAAATTTTTGACTCCTTCTCTGAAGCACAAACCTAAATAAACAATCCCTGCTCAGAAAGACACTATACACGTCCTTTTACAAACTGAGCCTTACAATATCTGTTCTAGTACAAGAGACCTTAGCAGTGCTGTCAAAGCACTGCATATGTCATATCCAAGTCATCATCTGTCATCATGCAAAACTTCTTAAGAGAACGTAACAGATATGGGGCACGTAGAGGTAGAAAAATACTAAGTTTAATAAGTATTGCAGTAAAAACCTCCAGCAGCATGCACAGAAATGCAATACAGCGAAAATGGAATTTGACCGACAGCTTTTTGTCAGACAGAAAAACAATCCTTCTGGATTAGTGTTTCTCAGCCGCTGATCCAGGGAGCAATGGTCGGCTGCGAGACATCTGAAACAGCCCGTGAAACAGCTGCAAAGAAGGCTTGGGCAGCAGGGGTAGAGGAGAGAATTGTTTCCTTACTCATATATACAATAAACAATTCTCATATGCAAGCAAGACAGCAATCAACACAAGCAACACTAAGAGCAGTAACTGAGCAGTCAAACCTCAGCCTAATTTGTATCTCACTGCAAATAAAACCTCCTATGGCATTACTGCACAGTACAATCCTCAGATTGTATTCAATGAGGTCAGATGTCTCTTTGGACTTAAAAAGGTTGCGAGACATCCTTTTAGATGACAGATAGTTGGCAGATAACAACATGGAAGATAAATGGAAGATGAGGATTTCTGAAGGACAGAGATGATGAGATAACCAGCATATATGATTACAGAAAAAAAAAATATCAAAATCCACCAGAGAAAAAACCCTTGCCTTAGATATATTAAAATGTACAGAAAGATTCAGGGAACAGAAGCCTCAGTTCACAGACTCTTCATTTTGACAATTAGGAATCATAAAGTAACACAGAATATTCTAAGACCTGAAGTCTCTAATACTAGATTTATAGAGCATGAACCTGCTTTTGTATCCAATAATAAAAGTAAAGCCATAAAGAGCATTAGGTAATCACAAATTCAACCTCTTAAGTATACTGAAAGCTCCAGCATTTGATTGGGCTTAATCACATCCCTCTAATACTACTAAGTCAGAACCACCTCAGTACTATTGCAACTATCTGATAGACACTTTAGCGAGCGCAGGAACAGTCACAGGATGCTCATACTTACTTGAATCCTCCCATCTGAGAAGGTGCAACTTCCAAGCAGAATAGTACAGAAATCCCAGTACCAGAAAGAGGCAGAGGGCTAGCAGCAGGTTACGCATAAACACCAACAGTCCCATCTTCACATTAAATCTGCTCTTCTACATGACCTGAGGAAGAAAAACAGGTTGAGGTTGGAGCCACCTCCTCCAACAGTTACCCTTCCAAAACATGCAACCCCGTATCCACAACACACAGATCCAAACCCGTGCTCTCCACAAGGTAAAACACACCAGTTACCCAAACCACATCAATGAAATACGAACTACCACCCTAAGCAGCTGCCTTTTTTTTTTTTTTTTTTTTTTTTTTTTTTTTTTTTTTTTT